TTCCGTGTCTTCAATTCTGATGTTTTCCCACTTTCGACATGACCACACCCGGACTCTGAATGACCAGATTGCTAAGCTTCATCATTTCCAGTGCCTGCCTGCCAAAATATTACAGTATATTTATGAGTCAACAGGATATTGTGATGGTACAGTTATCTTGGCCTAATTTGGAATTCAAGTAGTGATGAACACTTTATTTTTCATTTTATCCATTAGTTAAATGATGATAGATTAGTTGAATAAACTTTGATGGCTTCCACCTTATTTAATTTTTATATAGGATTATTATTTTTTCATGTTGTAGGGTTTATATTTATTTTAACTAACATTTATTTTAAGTTTAAACTATCTTTCCTGTCAAGCCTTACTTTCCCCTGGAATTGCCAATGCCAGAGTATGTAAATTTTAGTAGAACGCGCAAGGATTCAAATTGTCAGCGGAAGTAATCTGAGTTAAATAGAAGGGGAACGAGTTCGAAAGTGTGCTTTTTTGCTTCACGAGCGTGGAGGTGGCTAGTTAGAAATTGAAGAACCACGCGTTTCGGCCTGTGTGCTTGCCTCGGCAGATTGTTAATCTTTCAACGTAATATTCAGAAGTTTGCTGAATTATCAGCGGTATCTTAGAACGCGGTGAGGTTAGTTACGTTTAGAGAGCCTCGTAGTTAGTCACTTTTTACTATTCTTTTTTTTAGTTTCTTATTTTTATTTTACCGCCGGGTCGGCGTAGTTTGTGAGCGTCAAGAGCACGCATTTGTAATTTCTAAAGTTGAATAAAAAGGGATTTAAACCCTTCTCAAGACTTTGTCTACTTTCCAGTTCTCAGCAGTCACCACTATTGTTGCGTGCAGGTTGGAAGCGTGCAACATTACAATGTAATGTTTCATTTTTTCTTGGTTTTTATATATATATATATGGATGGAATTCTATATATATATATATATGGAGTTCTCTAACCACTCATGAAAATTGAATACATGAGTTTGTTAAAGTGGATATATCCAAATAGCTGGATGTGTGTACTAGGAGAAAGCTGTGAGGTCTTCAGGTTTGTGTAAAATAAGAAAATAAGAAAGAAAATTGTAAAATCTAGTAATAAAAAGTAAAAGCCATAACTTCAATCATGTTATTATAAATGATAAAATATTACTTATAAACATGAAAATTAGTATAATTTACGAGTATATAAAATTTTTATAATTGTGGTATTGCTGTACAACAATTTTTGGAAATCCTTCCCTGAAGTGTCGAAATTATGATGTGAATGTTCCAGAAACAAGAACATTTTACAGACTGGACTCAAATCTTAATAGGACTTTAAAAATCTGCAATTATTTTAAAAGAATATACTGTTTAAAATTATTACTGAATTCAAAATTTTATGACTTTTGTCTATGACCTCTTTTATTTCTCATTTAATTTGGGGACTTCCTCTCTCTGTCTTAGAAATAGTGTCATAAGTCTAAATTGAGTCATTCAAATTAATTATACAATCTTACATAACGCTTAATGCAGATGCCTGTTGACCAATCACCAAATTGTAAACCAAAACTAAAAACTGAAATTTTTGACTCATTGCCTTTTTCTATGAACTGATGCATCACTTTTGCTTGTGCTTTCCTCTTGGTTAACGCTTCTGCAGTCATGTATGTGCTGTTATATTTGCTTCTATGGCAATAATATTAAAATTGTGAATGTTCTGGAAGTGGGCATGATTGGAGTGACAAGTGAATTATCGCCACAAAAGGTGAATTTAAATAAACACGGAATTTAATTCGGCTCGACTGCTTATTCTTTATAATGGATGGACGCTCTAAGCTTCAAGTATCTACACAATCAGCATTTCTGCGCTTCTACGTCAGTGTCTTATACATCAATACTTCCAAATTTGTGCTTTATTATTACATATATTATATATATATTATTTTTAGAAGTAACCATTGATTTTAAGATTTTCAAAATACTCTCTTACAGTAATTTAAAAATTTTTGGTACTTTTAAAAATGAAGAAAAATATTTGCAATATACAATGCAGTCATCTTTGATGTAGCCACCCGCTACTACACCTGCACTATTTGCCAGATTTATCACCACCAGATTATTTTTTGTTTTCAGAACTGAATGATTGTTAATTCAAATATATCAAGATGATCCAACAAAACGTTTCAAGGGAGCTAAGAGGCATTCCAGCAGAGGACATTCAGCATGCTATGGAATAGGTTGCAGATCGTGCCAACCAATGTATAACTTCACAAGGGTAATACGCAGAATAATTGGAAAAACATTTATTTTTACTGTACTTATGTTTTTTTTTAAATGAGCTCGGTCTTAAAACCTTCTATCCAGACCACGTATACGTATAATGCTGTTATTCAAATATGGGTCAATGGAAAGGCTCACAGAATTCTAATAATAATACAGGGTGAGGCAAATAAAAGTGGCTCAGAGAACAGAGTTCCAGGTTACAAAGAAACACAGCAAAGGAAAGGTAATACAGTACTAACCTGACTAAGCAGCTGTTGAAATTGACCAATATTCATCTCTTGGCCCTTTTGGGCTCTAGGTCAGCAAGTTGCTGAAGGCAGATTGAAGCTGGACTGCAGGAATTGCTGCAATCTCATCCGAAATGGTATGCTGCAGTTCTTGAAGATTATGAGGGTTGTTGCGATACACCTTAGACTTGATGATTCTCCACAAAAAGTAGTCGCAATCTGACAGATCAGGGGACCTGCATGGCCAGCTAGAGACGAGACAAGACAAGACCAGACTGACAACTCTGTCAGGCATGAAGATTGTGGGTGATCCAAGGTCCGGGTGACTTTATAAGCAGTTGCTCCATCCTGTTCGAGGTAACTGTACGTCTTTTCACCTCAGTTAATACTGCCACAAATGAATTAAAAATGGTGTCGATGTAACACTCCGAATTCAGCATCTGATGAAAGAAGATGGGACCAATAATCCGGTCTGCAGACACTGCACACCAAACCTTCTGATCATGCAATGGTGTTTGGCAGAAGGTATGCGGACTCTCCGCTGCTCAGAACTTGTGATTCTGTGAGTTGAGATAACCACTTAGGTGAAACCAGGCTTCATCAGAAATAAAGAAAAGATCCACGTCCAAGCCATTCATTATTATCTCAGTGAACAACCACTCACAAAATTGGAGGTGCTGAGGAGCATATGCAGGTTTTAATGCATGGACAACAGACACTCCGTAGGGATGCATTTTAAAGGTGTAGGTGGAGTATTCGTCTGCATGATCAACATGATGTGTTGGTCTCTTGCGACAGGCGGCGGGTTGATTTGGTAGGACTCTGAAGCATTTTTTCTCTGAAGCAGAAACTGCAGCCACATTTTCTGGTATTTGGATATGTTGAGGAATGTTTTTTGACTTGTCCGAAACAGATCCTGTCTGACACCATTTCCTGACTAAACATTGCTTGGCACTCTTAGCTTGCACTTTGACGCCATTAAACTTATCAGCCAACAATTGACCACAATGTTTTCACAAATTTGTTGTAACGAAACGTTCCCTAATGAACACCCTCTGCTGCACTGTGAGTACCATCTTCACCTTTGCACTGCTAAAGGCACACTGACACAGCCTGCACTAAGCTCTGAACCGGTTTGGATAAAATGATACGTGTACACTTGGTGTGGTAATATTCATAAAAAATGTTCCTTAGTTTTAATCAAAGAAATTTTAAAGTCTTAACAATTACTATAAGATTTTAGCCAATCATGTATTTCCCATATATGGCAGTGATTTTCTTAAACCCTTTCTCAGTTTAGTTCCAACAATGTATCTGACCACAATGCAAGATATATTTGCGAATTGAAGACATGCAGATAGAAATACAACTGGCCAAGCCTAAACTCATACTTCAATATCTTTGAATCTGTATGAAAACAGGATCTATCACAACATGTACTTGAATCAAAGTGTTTCCTACAGGTAGAGGAATAAAGGAAGCAAATATATGCAACAAGTTACCAGAACTTCAGTAAAGCTCCACGAAAGATAACGTAAAAGAATCATCAACATATTAGCAAAACAGCTACAGTCTTAAGGAACCTCAATACTATGTATCCAGTGACTTCTGGTTATATGTATACTATAGCACATAATATTTATACACAAGGGTTTATTCTACAAACAATGGAAATAAAAGCAATGTTCTTAACAAATTAAAATATTAGTAAAATGTAAAAAGCTCAAATTATTTAAAACTGAAAACTATTTCATTATATTAATTTGTGTACAATAAATGAACAATGACTCATTATATTAATTTGTGTACAATAAGTGAACAATAAATGTTATATTAATTTGTGTACAATAAGTGAACAATAAATGTTGTTATATTAATTTGTGTACAATAAGTGAACAATAAATGTTGTTATATTAATTTGTGTACAATAAAGCTTCATTATATTAATTTGTGCACAATATGTTTCATTATATTAATTTGTATACAAAATTTTGAATGCAAAATAAAACAGTTTAAATATCATTGGATTAAAGGGGAAAAAATACTATAGAATGTTATTGTATGTAAATTTTGTGTATATGTGTGGGGGCTGCGCATATACACTTATACATGCATAGATACATATAATATGCATAATAAATTTAATTTTTAACATCTTCTGAATTAAAGAAATTAACGTTATACAGTTTAGTACATTTTTTTTAAAAATTGTACTAAACAGTATAATATTAATTTCAGTGAAAACAGAAATAACACACACAGTAATTTCTGTAGTTAACAACAAATTACAGACATACACAATAAAAAGTTTGGTTATATAGTAGGTATCTATGCAGGGCTGTCTTAACAGCATTATGGGCCCCTGAACAAACTAGTGTGCATAGGCCCCTATTAATGGCAAGTCAACCTGACATATACAGATTAGGATGCTGCCCCGAGGCATATGCCTAGTGGGCCCATGCATTAAGACAGCACTGATATAACAATATTCAATCTTAACTATAGAACATACCAAATCAATCATATGCATGGTGCTTTCATTAAAGAGCTCAGTTGAATTGGAAAATCCAATTGCCCATTTTATAAGCACAAGCCAGTCAGGATGATTTTTCATTATACGATCTGTTATATCAGGTAGTTTCAGTTGAAAGTCACCATATAGAGCAGTATTATCCAGTATTTGTCCTAATGCTGAAAAGTAATTGGGTTACTACTTAAGATTAAAAAAAATTCAGCAGCATATAAAAATTTAGTAGCATATCGGTACTTTGATTATCTGCAATCCCCTATTCTGAAAAGTTTAACCAAGCTATAATTCCATAAAATCAATCAATAAAACTAAAAAAGGTAGAAACATCTCTACATATAATAAAATAAAGAGTCTGTCTGTGTGTGTGTCTTTCGTTCGCGCTGCACGTAAGCTAATAGACCCATGGCTACGAAATTTGGTACATAGGCCAGTGCACCTCGAAGTGATTTTTTCAAAATTCGAATTCAAATTTTTTTTTTATTCATGTTTTGTGACGAAATCGCATCATTTTGAGACAGAATGGGGTATAGGAAAACGAGATTTTACTTTACATACTCCATTTTCACATCATCATGAAAAGCAGGCACTTAGCTATTTTACGAAATTAAAATAAATTCCGTGTTTCAATAAATCGATTAAATACGAATTTATTTAACAAAGTGAGCTTAACACGTTTTCAACAGGATTTTTTCTAAAAAAAGTTTATTTTTAAAAATGTACAGTTTATTATTTTAAAACATTTTTGGACACGTTAAAACTTTCATCCATGCGACTGCTTTTACAAAAAGAATTTTGGAAAAATGATAATATTTTGTATTTTTTAAAAATTTTTTAAATGAAGCTTCCGAGTACACTTCTCACATCTTTAAAAATGTGATTTTGGCAACAATTTTCCTTTCTTATTGTTGTTGATAGATTTTTGATGAAATCGCACCATTTTGAATAGTTTCATTCTTTTAGAAATATGGGTTTGGCAACAATTTTTCATCGTATTTCTCATGTCACTGTATTTAAGAGATTGGCATATTTCATTGTCATTTTTTATATATATAATACATTTTATTGCTAAAGTTGTATTTAATAAATAAAGGCAACAGACAAAATGTTAAAAAACGCCTCTTTGGACATAATTTAAAATCTGAAACCTTTCAGTTATTCTTTTTTTTTTTTTTGATGAAGTTGTTCAGCAGAGTAAAATTCTGCGCAGTTTTTAAATTTAATGTTTGTTGTTCCTTTCAGGCATTTTTCTGGTACATTTAAAAGCCAGGCAAAGGCTGGCAGCATAGCTGCTAGTTCGTAATACAGCACTCTTTTTCAAGAAATCCTTATGCATTTTCCCCTGCTGTTCTTCAAGAAATCCTTATGCATTTTCCATGCTGTTCTGCTTATGTACACAGCGATCTGTTTTCACTTAAGAAAAATCAGAAATTTGCCATCCTACATTCTAACACTTTGCTTGCAATTTTTTACACTGCATACCCATACAACTCAATCGTTTAAGACATACAAATCAGAGAGTGCAAATTTTTACATTCTTTACTGTTGGACAAAATGCCATATTTCTGAAAAAATGCTATAATTTTTTTTTTCCATCAGGCAGCAAACTCCTTATTCCCATCTTGATTCATTAGAAGAAAAAAATATACTCAATGACAAAACAAACACTAAACAAAAAATATAACCATCAAATTAAGAGGGCACATGCATAGTTGGGTTGCCACATAAAAAGAAATAAAATAAAAAATAAAAATAAAAATAAAAACCACCCAATTTTTGTGCCATAGTACACTACTTTGTAAATGTGTTTCAGAGGGGGGAAGTGTGAATAATCAGAAAGGACCAGCATATCTAATACTTAAACAAAATTTTTAAACATTTATGAAATTTTGTACTTAACTACTTTTGAAACATTTTAAAATGAAAAACCTGAGTTTACTTTAACTCTTTCATATTTATTGATTTATAGATGCATTAGAATACCTTCAGAAACAGTATTATTTACAGGCACATCGAGTCCAGGTATATAACCTGAATGCTCCAGTATTGTTTTACTTAGCCCCATTACCTAAAAAAGAAAAAGGAAATAGTAATTAAAATGCTAAAAGGCATACGTAAAGCCATTATGCCTTAAAGAAGGCCATTATGCTACACTCTGTGAAAAGCTTTTGACACATCTAAAGAATAATGCTCCTGTATGGATTTTTGCATTGTAGCCATCTGTAATCTAGTTAACTTCTGTAAGAAGTTGATGTGTAATGCTGTGGGAGTACATAAAGCCAAACTGTTCTGGGCATGAGCAAGTGTGTGTGGGAGGGGGGGATACTTTTATGTATAAAATAGAGGATTACTTTTTCTGTAAGTTTGGAAAGGCTGCTAAGCATGCTTATTTGTCTATGGTATCTGGGAAGGAATTCTTTTGGTTTGGGTTTAGGGAAAACAATTACAATTGTGTGCTTCCAAATTTTGAGGAAATTGGAGAATTTAATTGCAGCATTAATGATCTTGGCAATGAGCGTGGAGAGATACATTTATGTATAAAATAGAGGATTACTTTTTCTGTAAGTTTGGAAAGGCTGCTAAGCAGGCTTATTTGTCTATGGTATCTGGGAAGGAATTCTTTTGGTTTGGGTTTAGGGAAAACTATTACAATTGTGTGCTTCCAAATTTCGAGGAAATTGGAGAATTTAATTACAGCATTAATGATCTTGGCAATGAGCGTGATCACACTTATGGGGAGATATTTAAGAGCTTTACTAGGAAAGTAGTCATGTCCTGAAGTTTCTTTACTTTTTAATATATTTAATGAATAGTGCTATAACGGCTGGTGTAGCAAGAAGGGTGAAATTTAAGGGGACAGGAGAATTGAGATAATTATAAATTATCCTATTCATTTGGCTAATATAATCGTTATCTTATATTTAGATCTGGGGGTGGGTAAATGTATCTTGAATCACATCTGTGAATGAGTTTCCTTTGTAAAGTGATTGAATAGGCCATGCCAGAAAGTCCAAGATAAGGGAGAATGGGTTTGTAGAGGTCTTGAGTTTCCATGAGATATCATACAATGAATCTTCAGTTGTCAGAGAATTTACAAAATTTGCCCATTTAGGTCTTTATTGCTTGTTTGATGTTTTCTTGCAGAGTTCAGTTGTCTTTAATTTGTGGACCTTTGGTAATTTGCCAGTGTTTACAAATGCAGTTTTTTATGACAATTTTTTCTCTGATGTCATGTGAGAGGGAAAGAAAGCATTTATATACTTAGAAGTTATTAGTTGCATAATTTAATGCAATATGTATGCAACTTGTGAGGTTCGAGATTTCCTTTTCATTGTTATTGCATGAATTAATTATAGGATTTCCAGGAACTGTATTTGCAATAATGTTTATGAATTTGTTCCAGTTGGTGATTCTGATAGTGCGAAACAATGAGGTTACTCCATTACTTTTTTAAAATGGCCATTTTGCATGAAAAAAATTTATAAAATAGCAGATGATAATTTACACTTTCAAAAATATAAGTGCAATTTTTTAAAAAATTTTCCAAGCAGGCAATATTTTTTTATAACAAAACAGACTATATACTATAATAACAGGTCCACACTTATGCTGCGGATTTCAATAGTTTGCATACAAAATTGGGTAGAAAATAAATGGAAATGTCATTGCCCAAGATTTCATAACTCGCTGGATTAAGCAATTACAAGGGCCCGCAGGCCGGCTTTTTCCCACGCTTGCTTTAGATGCAGGTGTTCAAAGATTTAGGAGAACAAAATGCTTTCAAGACATAATTTTTTTCCAAACAAATGTGAACAAAAAAAAAAAAAAAAAAAAAAAAAAAAACTGAAACCTCTGCAACAGATTATTATTTAAAGTCTTACTCAGGTCTAAATATTTCAGGGGTGAGAAAGGAAACGACTCTTTACTCCTCATAAAATAAAAAGATGGAGGATAAAATTATAAATTACAAAAGAAGAAATAGGCTTTTAGTGAATATCTTTTAGAATCTGTAAGCAAATATATTCAAAATAATATTTTCAAAAAATTGTAGAGATGAATAAATTACATAAGGAAGGGAGAACAAAAATATAAATATGTGCACAGTTTAGAACATTTTCACTCACCATTCTAGTTACGTCTTCTGAAATCCTAGCTTCATTCAATTTCTAAAAGTATTTTCATGATATAATCTCTATTATATCATGAAAATATGATATTAATTTCATTATATAATCTTTGAATTACATAATCTCTATTCTCTATTTTCCATTCTTAACTGGAAAATTTATTATTTTACTTTCTGAAAAGCTTAATATAGGAGATAAAAGAACTTGACTGGCCTCAGAAAAACAGGCAACCAACAATTATCCATTTCTTTTTAAACTTTGAAAACTTTAATAAAGGACATGAAATATTTTGACTGGTCTCCAAAACCTCCAATGGCTATACCACTCTTGAACAGAATCTCAGAGCTAATTTTTCTCTTGGGATACAGCTCAAATAAATGCTGCATATGAGTACAAAAATGAAGATACATAAGAACATCAGGTTATTTCCTAATGTTGACCATATAGCTTTCTTGGCCCACAACAGAACAGTTATAAGCCAACAAACACTAACGGTACCATTCGAGATTTAATTCTTGGTGTGGCAGAAGCTTACAGCATAGCAATTTTTATATGTAATTACGTTAAACAAAACATACTAATTTCCTTTAGAAGTCTTCAATGAAGGTGATGCCCAATGATAGATAATTTTCATAATAGTGATTTCATAATTTTCATAATAAATAATGTGTAATTAACTATCAGACCATTATGGCTCTATACATTTATTGTCCTACTGACATTAGAGATATGACAAATGTATTTACCATTGTTACAATCACCCAAACATGCTACCTAAAAAAAAGAGAGAGAAAAAAAAAAAAAAAACACTTACCTCAAATAATTTTACCAATGTTTGATTTATAATTTTATACTGCTTTTTATAGTCTTGAGATAACAAATTTTGGATGACATCTTTATGCTGAAGCCTCTTTTCATGAAATATTGCTTTAACTTCAGAAGACTTAAGGACAAAAACAATAAATATTTGCCTACAAATTAAAAATACAAAACATTTCAATCACAGATTTCAAAGGTAGATTGTTTAAATCCTCTATCAAATAACCAATTTTCTGTTAAAATAATTTTCATTGCAAATAGTTCTCTAGGAAAACAAAAAATATAAGATATATAAAAAGAAGTGTTCCTTTACTTACACTCTAGTATATCATATTTGATAAAATAGAACAGCAAACAGATCTTTATTATTATAACATCCTTGGAGTTGTCCATATCCTTGTAGCGATCTCAAGAGCCACCCAATGCTTGCAAATTTGGAATTCAAGTGAGAATTCTAGAAGCTAACGCACAGGATCTCCTTTGTGCTCACGCATGGCCTCAACTGAGAACAAAAAATGAACTTTATTACACATGCTAAGGTACTCCTTCACACATGCTCCAACTCAACCAAACAGCTCCTTCACACATGCTCCAACTCAATCAAATGCCAACAGACCAGAAACCTCAATCATGCTCCAACGTGTTACATCCAGCATATTAATAGCAGTAATTCATGACAATGCATCCACCACAATATTTTCTGGTCCAGGAACATATTGTATGTTGGTACTGAATTTGGTAATATAATTCAGATGCCTAATCTGCCTGGGTCATCCAGAATTTTACTTTTTTCTAAATAAAAATATTAGAAGATGATGATCTTTATAGATATTGTAAAAACCTCCTTCAATGTTGAAAATGCCTTACAGTGCAGTAGATAGTAAGTAATTATCTGTCATATATGCTGTACTTAGTTTCAGCTGAATTAAATTTTGCGTGAAGAAAGCCAGTGGAGAAAAAAGGCCATTATCGCACTATGAGTGCAGAATGGCTGCAATAGCCACATCTGGGGTATCGACTATCAATGACAACTGTTAACCAGGGACATAGTAACAAAGTGTTATGGAATTTGATAGATCAGTTTTATATTTTTCAAAGACTGCAGTTGTTTCTGCCATTCAAGGAATGGGATGCTTATCATTCGTCTTAGAATCTTTTAAAGGAGAATGAAGCAGAGCTTTAATAGCTTTTAGGGGGGGAAAAATCGGCGATAAAAATCCAAAAAGGCCAAAAACATCTTTAATTCAGACATTATTACAGGTTTAGGGAAGTTAGAAATTATTGCAGTTTTTACAGGAAGAAGCTGAACACCTGAAGGGGTAATTAAGCAGTTAAGAAATGATACTGATGACTTTAAAAGAATATATTTAGAAGAATTCAGTTTTAACCCGCATTTTTGCAATATCTCAAAAATCAAACGGAGGTGGCTCTCATGCTCATCTTCATTTTCTGAAGCCATAAGCAAATCATCAAAGTAAGGGACACAAAAGTTTGAGCCAGAAAGTACTTGATGAATAAATCTTTGGAATGTTTGGCCTACATTTCACAAACCAAACAGGGTTTTGAGGAACTCAAATAATCTAAATGAGGTAGTCACAGCTGTTTTAGGGATTTCCTCTGAGTGAACAAGGATTTGAGGATATGCCCTAGCCAAATTAAGTGTTGAAAAAATATTTTTTCCAGGAAAAATCTGTATACAGCCCTGAATATGCAATACAAGATACTGGTCAGGAACAGTCACAGCATTCAAGCAGCGAAAGTCACCACAAGGACACCAGTCTCCATTAGCCTTATGGAGCATGTGAAGAGGGCTGGCACAAGCACTTTTGGATGGCCAAATCATTCTTTGTGATATGAAGTATTCGAACTCCTGTCATGCCGCCTGGAGTAAATCCAGTAACAAATGACGAGGTAGAAAACACGAGGCAAGACGGTGATTGGAAAAATGCCCACAGAGAAAATACTCACAGGTATAAAAGCTCACAGGAAAAAATGATGAAAAAATGCTGCATAGAAAAAAGTTCACATGGAAAAATGCTCACTTAGAAACAAGCTCACATAAAAGATGTTTATATGGACAAATGCTCACATTAATCTTTTCAGGGCCAGTAAATAAAAGCGTGAAAACTGTAGTAGAACTTTGCATGTACTGTAATATTTTATACCGCTGCCCCTGTATGACATTTTTTTCCCTGTAACTGCCAATAATTAATTTTTGTTTTTTCACTCTATTTTTGAATAATTTTGATGTGTACCTGTAGAATTTGATGTTTGAATGTAGTTATTTAAGTTTGGAGCCAAAAAAGTTGTAAACTTTCTGCAGAAATTTAAAATTTTAGAAATAAAATTAACATTTTTAGGCACTTTGATCATGCCTCTCAGTTGAACATTATGAAGCAGCCTTTGAAAAATCTCCTAAAACCACAAATTATTGCGAAGGCTTTCATAAAATACTAAATTCATTATTTATTTGTAACCATCCCAGCATGTGATTTTTTTATTTGATGGACAGAAAAAAGATTTAGCCTGTCAACGTTTGTTATTAGCTAATGCAAATACAGGATGTACTGAAGTAAAAAAAAAAAAAAGGGAGAATATGAAAACTTAGATTAGGTAATTGCGAATCATGTAAGAAACTATGACAAAATCAATGATAAAATTAAATATTTCATGTAATTTAAATAAAATAACTATTTCTATTTGCTTATTCTTCTAAATGTTTATATTATAAAATGTGTAACTTATATTTATTAATATTTTTTTAACAATTAAAATTGTAATTAATTTTTCACTATATATTCTGTTTCATTTTTACTTCCTTCCTCCTCTCCTTTTCTTAACCCAGCGGAAGGTGTATCAAGAAAAGTTAGTAGAGTGGGCGCATAGAGTATCACGAACCCCAATATTTAAAATATGGTAAAAACAGTTTTATTTAGATTTAAAACCGTTTTCTTTTATAATACGTTAATAATACTTGGATTACAAAAAATTAATTTCCAAAATAAGCTTGTAGAGGGTTAAAATTAAGATAAATGAGAATAATAACAAAATAAACATCATACTTCTAATCATATTGCTTATTTTATTTGTTTACTCTTTGAACAAAATATATTCATGTGTTCTTAACACAGAAAGTTTTTCATATTTTAAATATCGCATTCACATTCTTTGGCTCAAGGGCATTCCTCACATCTTTTACACTTAGTTGCTTCGAATTTCACACATTCGTTTGAATTATTCCTTGAAACTTCTGCTCTTCTTTTGCAATGCAGTACATACATTTCTCGGTAAAGTATTAATCTCTGATCATTGTTCCATACATATTTTTATTAATTGTAATGCTAAGTGCCTCTAAATCAGACATCTGCTTCTGTATGTGGTTGGTGGATTAGGAGTTGAAAGTAATTTAATTCGAGCATTTATTGCAGCAACATTCAGTGCAGAAAAGAAAATTATCATTGGCCACTTCCTTGTTATTCTGGCAATTGAATAACTTGTTGCCCTTTCATCCACAGTATCCACTGCTCCCTTAGTCGTATTATTAAAACAAATAATTTGTGGCATTTTCTTTCTCCAGTAGTGTCATTTATAGCATCATCGTTATGTAATGTTAAAAGCATAAGAACTGTTTTTCCTTTTTTAGGAACATAAGAAATTAATGTTTTATCTTTTTCGAAACCAAACAGTGTAGGAAATATTCCTATTTTCAATTTCAGTTTCCGAAATGCAATCGTCGTCACTTTCAAATATTTCTAATAAATCTCACCATTGCATTTTCAATTCATAGGAAGTCCTTCTTTTTGCCATAATGGGCTTAGAAATCTTTAAAAAATTAATTTCAAATACTTTAGAATCATTTGCAAGTAGAAATATTTACTGTTACACTCTAGAAATATATTTCTTAAATAAATATTCAGTCAGAGAAACACTTATGCGGTCAGACACATGGAGTGCGTCATACTCCAGTTGCAATAAAATACCACTAAATCTTTTTCTGAAACATACAGGCAATGGAAAAGCGGTTTTGAAACTCAGCTACTGAATGCAGCACAGAGTTTCAGTTTCACTATTTAGGAATATTCTACTTTTTTGTAGAGCTGGGGTATGATACACCCTATGTGCTTTCCCGCATATTAATTCAAAATGACGCATTTGTTAATCTTATAAAGTCCGAAATCCGGACTCGCCGGGACTTCGGCGGTTCCAGATTTGGGATTTTTCTGGATATTAGATCATCAGTTTAAATCTAGTAAGATGGCATGTATAAATTATAAAATTAAAACTATAAAATCATGATTTATGAAATAATGAAGTATTTATGAATTAAAGGGTATCAAAATTTACAAAAAAAAAAAAAGCTTAATATTTATTTGTTTACCTTGTTAAACATTTCTTTCAATGTAAGTTGTTTAAGTTGCTTAGTTTTTTGTGCTAATAATACTTTCTCTTTAACTCTGTAAACACACATAACCTCTTGTTTAGTTACATTGTTGAAGTCCTGTAACTGCTGTTTCTAGAATTCCAACTTCGAACTTTTTCTCGTTTTTAGTAACTTCTCTGTCACTTTCTTCACTAACGGTAGCGGTATTTTCTGGATCTAGAACCATACTACATATTTCACCATTCATTAATTGATTGATGATTGAGAAGCATTGTCATCACAATGAAAAACTTCTTTTATATCATCTTCATTTATTACCGCATCTCCCCATTTCTTTACAAAATCCGTTAATTGCAAAATTTCACCTTTGTTTTGCGATATCTGAAAACCTTTAAAATTAGCGGCTATCATCATCAAATTTGCTATCCTTCACTATACATATTTAGCTATGCATCATGGGCTTGGCAACTAATGACAAGTTGTTCCGTTAAATTTTATCTTGCTTATAACGAGCATTGAGACAATTAAGCCTGAATTTTATTAGTTATTTATTATACTTTTGCCCATTTCTTGCACATGTGTAAGGCTTATCAGAGTTCTGAATAAATAAATTCCCACATATACTTAAGCCTTATTGAGGGCCGGCACTAGATATCTTACTGCCTGATGCAGTCTCTGTGGGTCCTAAATTCTGCGACTCGATGCAACCATATGGGCGCTGGTTCTGGGTTTATATGAATAACAAATCGGTTGTTCTTAATTCAAATAGCCCTAAATGTAATCTTTGGATCTATGAGTATCATCAACAAAATCTATGTTTAGCGTATGGAAAGAAATTGTTGGTAAATTTTTCCTCGTCAACATTTTTTAGAGCATTGGACTTAAATCTGTAATCATCGCCAAGTGTAATGTCAATTTAAAAGGTTACCATACTCCTTTATTATTCAATTACTAACATAAAAAAATTATTTAGGCATTGCTACATGAGTCATTACTCAAGTTATCATGTTTTGATGAAAGGGAAGTATAATAAACAATGATTTGCCAGGTTGGCGTCAGATCAACGATGGATCTATGTGAAATGCTTCGGTTTGAGATTTGTGCCAAGCATAGATAGGCAGCAACGCAGCCAAATTACCGATTGTACAAATTTATGCTAAAATGATTGTTTCTTCAATAACAAGGTATTTTATTTAGTGTCAAAGTGAAATTAAGAATCATGACTTTCCAGATGTTTTATTATGCGTGGAGGGGGAATTGTACACAACTTTGGCATTTTATCTCACAATCATTATCTCACAATGACAAAAGTAAGGTTGACAGATTAAAATCATTTTCTAATAAAAAAAATTTCTAAATTTTGCATGCACCCAATACTTCACTTTAGCCCATATATATTACTGTACAAAGAAAATTATAAAATGCCTGAGACAGCTGATTAATGAGAACCTCTAATATTTTGAACAATGAATGACTATGCAGCAGCAGATGGTAAATGAAAAAAAGTATGTTCAATTTAAAAAAAAGTCAAAATACAGATGTCTTAAAAGTGATGTAACAATGGCACTCTTATTATTTATGAACCATGTTTACTTACACTACAAGGAAAGGATACCTTTTTTATGGGTAATTACACATTACCACAACCATTTAGTAGAAGTTGCCAAATCCTCCCCTCCTCCCAAACTCTATCAATCATGCTCATAACAATCCATCAGTCTAGCAATGCTGCAATCCATCAGTCTAACAATCCATCAGCATCAGTCTAGCAATGCTTGTAAAAAAGAATACAAAGTTCTTTTTGTTGTATTTCAAGTTCTGATGCTTCTGAATTTGCCAGCAATGGAAGAAACCATGGTAAAATTTCTGCAGAAATACAAAATTTTTTAGCATAATTTCTAAAGGCAAATACAAGAATATTCATTTGGTAGATAGCTGTTATTGCAGAGGTTTGGCCGGTGCCGAGTTTGTGCAATTCTCCATTGCTTTTTTTTGGTTTAGTATATTTAAGGGTGTCAGAGTGTCCCTTGGATTATCACTAAGTTGTTTCATTTATCGTCAAGTTGTTGTTTCATTTATCGTAATCTGAGTAAGTGAAAGTTATGGAAACCCTATTATGACGTAATTGGTTACGTGATTTCGGTGAATTTGAATGACAGGAAAAGATTTGTAACGGCTTGTTTGTGTGCTGGATGTTGGTTAGGAAGTACGTTGGTTATTTTGTGGTTTACACGGTAAAATGGCTGAATGTAGTAAGATTAATTAAGTTTCTGTACAATTAGGAACGAAAGGGGAAAAAAGCAGTAATTGACTGGTGTGTAAATGGAGGTTTACTTAGTAGCCATTATAAGTATCCTGTTTACACGGCTTGGTTTGAGATTACGGCAAAGCACACTGGGGCTATCGGCCTAAGGGGAAGGATGCCTTCGTGGAGGACTTTCTAAGGGAAACTGGCTTGTATACACGTTACACATGGGGAAAACCACGAAAACGCCCATGCAGCCAGCCCGTTCACAGGATTCGAACCTCGGACCGAACTACCAGCGCTCAGCGACTTTACCGCTTAGCCGCTGGTGGACTCCTGTTTGTACGGAGGAAAAGTGTATGGTCAAATGTCAGAAGATACCGGCACTACGGAGGATATTTTTGTGAATTTATGTGGTGATGCCAGTATACAGATTCTACTTTAGATAATTTCAGGAAGTTTTTGGATGCTGTTAGGGAATTTTGTTTGACTGAAGACAGGGAAATTTCTAAACAAGTGGATATTTCCTTTACATAGTGCTAAGATGAATTTCCTTTTCTGTTATTTCATTGTTTGATTCAAAATGTATTTTTTTTTATATTATATATTTTTTGTTTGGCCCTAGTGTAGAATTGGATGCTCTTTTGACTTTTAACTGAAAATAGATCGATGTGTACATGAACAAAGTAAAGGGAGTGCGCAACGGCAAGTTTGCGCAATTCTCTGATTTTTTTTTAAATGAAAATAGGCCGATGTATAAATGGATACCGATTTTGTGTAATTCTTTGACTTGTTATTTTGGCTTTGTGTAGCGGTGATTTTTGGTGGAAAACAAAATTTTTGCTGCTACACAAAGCCAAAATATCATGCCATAGAATTGCACAAACGCGGCATCCATGTACCGCCAAAAATCGCCAAGGGGCACCTGTAAATATATTTTTATTTTTTCTTTAAGTGAAAACAGATTACTGAATACTACAACAGTGCATTAAAAAAAATTACAAGAAGATTGGGAGAAGTATGTGTTTTATTTTTTTAAAGTATCATGCAACCCTTATTTAATAATTAAAATTTATATTTTAAATTGCTAAAGTATTCCTTTCATATGCTGATAATATTTATGATAAATATTGATAATTAGGGAATCTTTTAAAAAAAGTTTTGAAAATCACTCGATTGTGTCGACAATTAAACTTTCACCTTTTTAATCTCTTAACAGATGCCAAATTATACCATGGTGAATGAACTCTTTTTAAGATGACCACCAGTTGTTTTAGAAATTTTAGTTTTCTATGGAGGCGATCATTTTAGAAAAGATGACCGTACTAGCTGTGATGGCATTTACTGATTTGCAACTTTTTACAAGTTTGTTAGTAAAATTACAAATTAACTACAAAGCTTGTACTATTAAATAATGCTTTGCTGAAAGAAAATTTATAAAAATCATTCATAGTTAATTTTTCTAAAGTTACTGTAGCTGAATATTTTTTTTAATACAGAAAGCAGATTTTACAAGTTAAGTAAAAAGGCAAAAAAAGAAAAAAATCCTAAAATCTTATTCATTAACTTAAATACTTACTGCTTATTAAAACAGTAATTTAATGAAGACAGTTTACTTGATTTTATCTTTTTGTTAATTACTTCCCCCTTCTGAAAATGCTTGGACCATCAACCATTAAGCAAATCAACCATCTTATTACTTCTCTGATTACAATATGATTTCATTAATTCGCTTGCAGAATACAAAGTTTCAATTACGGAAACAAATGAGACTTTTCATCTTCTTTCTTCAGCAGAATTTCTCTCACTTCTTTAAAATACATATACTAACAGGCAATTAAAAAATATATTCTATTCGGCTGTTTTAAAGGTTCTCCAGTAAGCACCTATACCATTTATACCATATATATTTTCAGAAATAACTCGAGATTTACATTTGTGTCAGAAGAAATATGATCTATGACTCAGAGACTATAAATTACAATATTTCATATTACACTTAGAACTGGAAATGCAACTCTTCGATTAGATTATAACATGAAGTGCTTCAATTTGAATAGGCAGGTTAGAGAATGGTTATCTTATGATAAATAATATTATAACTATTCATATCAATGTTTACTGGATCTCAGAAATACTGGGCATTTACCAAAGAGAACATCTACAGCAGATGGCCATTAAGAGAGGATTCACTGCATTCTTATGTTCTTATATAAGTTTGCTACTTGTCTGTGTAACTGCCTAACAATATAAATCTACATTACTTACATTGTTAAAAAGGAAGCAGTGGTCTAGCTTTGGAAACACTCAGCTAGTAATGCTGCCTTATTATGCTACTACCAAGGATATATACATTTTAAAAGAAATATAAGAATACTTCAAACTGGGCAGTCAGAAATTTCATATCTGCTCTAGAAGTTTTATTAAACCACTAATGGGAAGAGCAAAACACAAAAGCTAATTCTTAAAGGAATTAATATGAATAATAATTAAAATCACAAAGGATACAGAGTTTAACTCTAGAATCATCTGGTTTCGCTTCTGTGCTTGAATTTGTTTCAAGTTCGGAAAGAGGTTCCGTGGCATTTACCATCAAACAAAAAATAATAAACAAAAAATATAAAATATTAAAAATCTGAAGATAAATCCTCGTTAACTTTCTGATAGTCAACAATTCAGCCCTCTGTCTGCAAACCAACATATTTTAAATTTGACATTTATTTGATCACGATTAAATTAGTCACAATCAGTCCGAACTTGTATCGTCAATACCACAGTTACCTAAAAACACGATTTTCAAATAAAATTTTTAAACATCAAAACAATACATAACACAATTTTAACACAGCGTCGTCTGCTCGACAACCACTGCAGAATCACTCATTTGAGATAGAACACAGCAGTTCGAACTGGATTTTCTCATACATTGCCTTGAAGTAGTGGCACCCACCTCCTTTGGTGATCAAAATATTCAGTGACTCGCCATTAATATCAATTGCCCAATTTTTCGACGTAAACAACAACGAACTACTCATCTACCACAATTGTAAATTTCTACTTCCGATACAATGTTTCTCTAAGGTGTTTTGCAGTTTTAGAGCTAAATTTTCTAATTTTAATTTGACATTTCCATCTCATATTGTTTGCTTAACGTTTTGTTTATAATTAAATATCTGTTTTTTTAGTAGCGACGAATATTACTATATTTAATAGTAAAGAATAATTTTACTGCAAAAATTGCCGGATTTGTTTTAGAATCCATACTTTGGTGACTCTGATTTCCCGAGATACAGACATCTATAGTGTTTATCGCAGTATCACTAAATAAGTTTTGCGGATTAATATTATTCTTCCTGGTATGTCCTCCTATAATTCTTCCTTTACATGAATACATAAATGGCTTTTTAATATACTATGTTTGAAGGTATATTGCTATTCCATGCTGCTTAATTGAATTCATTTATTTATTATATGAATATGTTATTGTTATTATCGGATGTAAACATTTTGTAATTACGTCGTAAATATACATTAAGTATAAATGTACATATTTTTTTTCTACAATATTTCAGAGTTCTAAATATATGAAAGAATACATTTTTAAACAGCATACTGATACTTGTTATGAGGCCCCAGAAGAGACCTTAATAAGCTAGATAAGCAAATTAAGCCCCTGAGGGCACATGACTTTGATGAGCTGACAGGCTAAAATCGAGGAACGGTCCAGAAAGTGAGATAAAAGTGGGAAGCTATTGTCTCCGTTATTGCATGTGTGGCCATCTAACGGAAAGCGACGAGAGACAAAAGTTAGGCCGAGCAAGAAAACAAGCAAACTTTGTTTCTCCGAGCTGTTACTACGCTCGGCGTATTACGTGCCCTTGATACCTTCGCTAGCTAGTTTAGTATTATGGGCCAACTAGTTTAGAAATTGTGTTAGTTTCAACTAAATCTCTTTAGTTAGTCATTAGTTAAGTTCTTATTTCTTACATTTTTGAGTCAAGCCCAAGTGGAGGCTTTGTTGTACGTCCTGAGAAAGGGACCATCTGTCAACCTCATTTTGAGCAATAAAGGGTAATTAACCCGTCTTGAGTTTACGTTTATATTTTTTTGGACTTAAGCGAGTATTCGCTTAATAGTTCACTAGGTTCCTCAATACTTTGTTAATAGAGATAAAAGTGAGGATCCCTTCAAAGCAAAACACTGAAGAACGATCCCCTCATTAAATTAACAAAGGTCTCTGTCTTCTTCTATTTGCTCCAATTTATGATTTTCAAAACTCATCTGAAAGAATTACACAATTAAAATCCCAGGAATTTAGTAAAGGCTGAACTTCTGTGGGTTCACAATGAATTCGAGACACTCTTTATTTTATAAATGCAACATTTTTTATCCCGAAGGTGGTAAATGAATTTAATGTGAAACTTGAAGATGGAAAAAGTAGCTTAAATTAAATGCTGAATGCTGCGAACAAATCAGGATTTCCATGTAAAATGCAGTTTACTAAATGTATTAGATTTTACTTAAATCTAGTTAACAGACAGTTAAAGATATATAATAATCGAAAAATCAATTGATTTAATGTTTAAAACACTCAGCTATATTTCATTGTTTCCAAAACGTATCAAAGTTCTGCCCAGTAGGAATGCACTAAGCGCATGTCATGACCAGGACTTGAGATACAAATTCCCTTTGGTTATCGACTTAGGCGAATTTTGAATATTAAGATTTTTAATTTCGATTCTGACTGAGAAACGACTTTGGGAATAACTACTGTGAGAGAAATTAATTAGCGGAAGAAGAATGAGAGTCTTCCTAAAATACGCGAAAGGAAAGGTTCTTAATGAACAAAATGCCTATGTGCATTTTTAATAATATTAGTTCCGAAACGCTAATCAAAAGCAAAATAATAAAATAGTTATAAGTTAAAAAAGTGATAGTCAGCAAAATACACTGCCTTCCAAAGGTTAAGGAACAGCATGTTTTTTGTGTCTAATTTGAGAATGAAGCAACATAGAAGCAACAAACTTACAGGACATGTTCACTAAACAGTTCTTTAATGAATGCGACATAGAATGTTTCTAAAGTTCAATGCAAACATGAATTACAACCAAAAATTGCACTATTGCCAGAGAAATATAGTCTCGGAGAAACATTATATTACAGTTTTTTTAGGAAAAATAGGGTGGTAACATTACAAAACTGGATCCTAATAAGGAATGTGTCTACACCTAGCAACAATACGCAGCGACGTTCCATGCTTTGAATTAAGTTGTCTGTCAGCGAAATGGGAAGCAACGACCAGACACGGAGTAATCCTTGTTCAAGCTCATCTAACGACCTTGGAGGAGGACTTAAGCAGCAATCTGTCTCTCATTAACAGCCCCGCAGATGCTCTATAGTATTCAAGTCTGGGGATTGAGCTGGCCATTTCATCCGCTCTGTACCGTGACCCTCAAGATATTTCGCAACCGTACTTCAGCAACCCGAGCTCGGTGCGGTCGCGCATTGTCGTCCATCAGAAGAAACCCAGACCAATAGCAGCGGCATATGGGCCGACATATTGATCAATAATCTCGTCTCGATATCTTACACCGGTCAGAGTTCTTCTATGGAACACATTCAGGTCAGTGTGACCAACGTGAGATATCCCAGCCCAAACCATTATTTCACCATCTCTGTAACTGTGTCTTTCCATTATGTGGAATTGATTGTACCTAGTGCGTTGTTGCCTTCAGATCGGCTGACGACCTGAATCACTTTCCAGTGTGAATCTGGACTCGTTTGTGAAGAGAACAGACGCCCATTGTTGACTGTCTCAGGAACGTCTTGCCCACAACCGCGTGTCTGAAAAAGATCGTCGGACAGACCTGTTGTCAACGTCGCTATGTCTGATTTGGTTTGTGCATTAATTTGAATGGTGATCAGTAATATCTCGGGCGAGAGCGTGATGGGAGGAAGGACAAAGGAAGTAGCAAGCGTTTTTTATCGCTCCGCCTCAAAGCCGTGTATATGCAGATATAGTGTGTGACAATAGTCAAAAATAGTATCATCGCAAAGAGCAAGCTCTATCGTACATGTTGATTAACGATTTTGACCGTGTGACGCTTATGAAATGAAAATATTAAGGAATATTAAAGTATCTCCATTTACGTGCATTGTGTAAAGCAAGGAGCTACAACTTCCCTAGAAGCGGCACTGCCGTTCGATAGGTCCGAGCTACCACCCGTGAACTTTGACCTTCGCAGAGCAGCAGTGCAACCTTCCCCGCCCCCCTGCAAAGGGAACTTATGGAGCTGCAATAAGGAGAGATAACAAATGGAAGTGGTGTGTTTATTTTCAAAGTCATATCTCCGCTGCTAATTACTTTAGCGCCTCCAAGCTAATTTTCCCATAAACAGCATATCGAGTGGAACCAAAGTTTCTAAAATTGAAGAAATTCGGACTGTTAGTTCGAAAACTCCAAGTCTAGCTTTTTATACAGTTTCGTTCGAACTTTTTACACAGCGAAGGACACCACCAACTCAAAATTCAAATTTGACGAAATAGTAAGTTAATTGGTTTTAGTGATTTAAGCAAATTTTTCAATGACAAGCAATTATTTTTCAACGCTTCTAAATTTACGTTTACATCTGTGCGGGAAGAGTGTTCTAGTCTGAATTTTGCAAGCCGATCTATCTATACATACAACTAATAAACTTCAGTTAAATTAGTGACTACATCTGTGTGTACAGCGTTATAGAGTGAATTTAGGCAAGGCCATCCCGTGTTCCGCTACTAGATAATACCCAGTCAATTCGGGTAATTACATTAGTGTCTGTGTTTTCAGTGTTAACATTTGTATCTGTGTTTTTAGTGTATCTGCGTGTTTTATCTGTGGATTCTTATGAAGAAGAAGAATAGATGTATATTATCATAAGGTAGGATTTTAAAATTGTTTATTGCATTGGAGCATTTTTGAGTTTTCATCTTGCATGCGACAGTTTACTATCTCTCTGCTAAAATCTACAGTGTCGCAATTTTGCAAATTTTGCAATAACTCCGCAACGTACGTTCAGTGGTCTCGTCCGTCTTGTATTATTGTACCTTTATTATTCTACATTACATAGTCATTTTAATTCTCAAACATTGTGCTTATCGAATATTATAATTTTAATTATTGTATTCTTTGAATATTCCTAGTATATGTTGCACTTATCATAATTTAAACATATTAATTCTCAAATATTGTGCTTATCGGTCATCGTAATTTTAATTTCAGTGTTATTTGAATATGCCTAGTATACGCTGAAACCATCATAATTTAAACATTTCAATTCTCAAACATTGTGCCTATCGGATATTATAATTTTAATTTCTGTATTATTTGAATATTCCTAGCATATGTTGCCCATCATAATTTAAACATACTCGTGTAAATAACACGAGTTGAGTACGTGTTGAGTGTAAATTGTGTATCTCAGTTCTCCGTAGTTTTCTCTCATTTCATTGTACTTTGTATAATTGAATTAATTCTTTGTTTTGATATTTTTTTGGTATTGGGTTATCTTATATGTAGCTGTTTAATAATTTATTAACGCTGTGCCCCTATGTTTTGTTCTGAGCTATTAGCTCATACTTATTATGCGATTTTTTTAATAGTATTTAGTGTGTTCAGTTAAGGCACTTCCAACTGTTTAATTCTAAGATTACCTGTATATGCTTATTTAAAGGGGCTGGCGGTCGAGGCTCTGTACCCTACTGAGAGGAGTCTCTCAGTGCGACGGTGCATATAATTCTACGCAATTACCATCCTAGTGCTGAGTTATACCTACTTGTATTATACTACTTGCTGAGTTATACCTACTTGTATTATACTACTTGCTGAGTTAAACCTACTTGTATTGTTTATGCAAGATAATTGCTAGTCACTAGAATGAGCTCGCAAACTCCAAAATCCCAAGCAAACTCAGATGGTGCTATGATTAATGTGAACGCTTCCCCTCCAGCTGAGACGCGTACCACTACTATCAATTCACCAG